GCCACATGAAAAAAAAAAAAAAAAAAAAAAAAAAGGCATAAACTATGTCACAGTGACAACCTCCAACAGGACGGTTACCCTGAGACCGTGATAAAATGAGATAGAACAAGCACAGTTCGGTCCAAGCAAGGTCTCAGTGCCACCCACAGAAACCCAAACCCCGTCTCCCACGGCCAGGCGAGTGGTTACGGCCGTGTTCACGTGCAGCTCTGAGGCAGGGTCGTCGCTGCTTTCTGACAGTGCCTGACCGGAGCAGCCCCCTCCATTGTGAGACCCTCCCCCAGGCCTCCAACTAAGGATGATGGCTCAAACCCCACCGTAGGTTCTGTCCAACACTTCTTACGGACACAGGCCGAGACTCCCCATGGCATGTTCTCCCTCACTGCCAGGGCAAGAAAGCCAGCTCGGTCAGGCCCAGGGGTGTTTCTCGTAGTCTCTGGCTGAAGGGCATTAACCCTCGCTGTCCTTGGGCTGGACACCTCCGTCCCAGGAGCCAGCCGTGGAAGTCTGCGTGTGCCGCATGCTGGCAGGAAGCGTGTTACCTCCCGTCAGCCCCGTGAGGGTGGTGCTCTTATGCCTGTTTTACTGTGTTTCTGGGAGGCTGTGACTCGCCTTTATGGAAAGTGGCTGAGCCGGGAGGCGAACCCGTGCTTACAGTAATATAAATAAATATTTTAAATTGCTCATCGATCGAGTTCCCGAAGGTCCCCTGAAAGAGGTCTGAGTGGAACCGGTTCATCGGGTCAGTATCAAGGCTTAGCATGAGCCCTCCGCGCCTGTGGTCTCCCACTAAGGCTTAGCATGAGCCCTCAGCGCCCGTGGTCTCCCACTAAGGCTTAGCATGAGCCCTCTGTGCTGTGGTCTCCCGCTAAGGCTTAGCATGAGCCCTCCGCACCAGTGGTCTCCCACTAAGCTTAGCATGAGCCCTCTGCACCCGTGGTCTCCCACTAAGCTTAGCATGAGCCCTCTGCACCCGTGGTCTCCCACTAAGGCTTAGCATGAGCCTTCCACGCCCGTGGTCTCCCACTAAGGCTTAGCATGAGCCCTCAGCGCCCGTGGTCTCCCACTAAGGCTTAGCATGAGCCCTCCGCGCCGTGGTCTCCCTAGGCCCCCTGCTGATGCTCCAGAGCTGCCCGGCTTCAGGAGGACGTGCCGCGTTTGTCCCGTGGCCTTGCCTTCCCTCCATGGCCTGGCCTGCTAGAGGTTCATGGTGGTCAGAGGTGGCCCTGCCCACCTTAACTTGGATGAGGGTGCAGCTCTGTGCTCCAGGGAGGGACGTGGCCAGCCCCCAGCTGGGGCCCATGGGGATGTGCACCAGGACCAGCCGTAAGCTCGAGTCTGAGGGCCCCGGCAGCCCCGCGAGCCTGACCCCAGGCTCCCACCCGCACCCAGGCCGTGCCGGGGGTCTGTTTCCACCTTGTCGTCACGTCCCTATGACGCTGCTTCTGGAAGGCCCCTGACTTCCGGAGGCCCAGGCACACTAAGCAAGGGCTGGAAGGGGCCATGCTGTCCTCTGTAGCTGACTGCGGATGCCACAAACCCCACCTGAGGCTGCTTGCCCGGGTCCTGATCCTTCCCCCTCCTGGGCTCCTCCCCACACCTAAGAGCCACACACCCAGAGCCGGTGAGGTGGGCCACAGGGAGGTACTCACAGCCACCAACCCATTGTGTCCTGCAAGAGACGGGGGAGGGAGGAGAGCGTCACTGGTCAGCGCAGACAGCACAGTCCTCCAAGAGCTTGGCACCCACCCTGTCCCCAAGTCCAGTGAGGTCCTCGGGGACAACCTCCCACACACACACCCTCAGATGCTGGAACAGCATTTAGGGAAGAGCCAGGAAACTGGTTTTTGCCCTGGCTTCACAATAGCCCTGTCCCCCTGGCCAGGTCAGTGACTCCAGGCAGGAGGGAGAGGACAGGACAAGTCCATGGTCATCAGTGGGTGGAACCGTCACTGGGGTCCCCGTCACTTGGGGAGAAGCAGAAGGCCCGGTCTGAGGCAGCCTCCCAGTCTCCCTGGTGGGCAGGGGGTGAGGCCTGGTCGGCACCTGGTCTGGGCGCCGTGAGTCCCTGGTCTGGCCCAGAATAACCGGCCACAGGAGGGTGCTGCTCATGGCACGGCTGCTGTCACAAGGTGCTCATGCTTCGTGATGGGCACATGTGTCCATGAAGGCTTTAGTCACAGAGGGCTGTCCCCGTCCGTCCCAGTGTTCCAAAACAAAGTCATTAAACGCACACAGGCGTCACTTGTGCTGAGGAAACTGGGAGTGCGTCAGCACCAGCTGATCGGGCAAACTGATCTTACGTGGCCTGTTCTTCCCAGCCATCGGGAGGGCGCCCGTGCTGGGGGAACTTCGCTTTGGCATCCCCTGTTCCGCAGCACGTCCGCGGGTAGTGAGTGCCTCTCCGGCTTTCGGGAGAGGGGAGTCTTGTCTATGTCGATTCCCAGACCCCCTCCCAGACAGGCTACTCAACAGGGCGGACGTGGGGCCTGGACCTGGAGCCTCACAGCATGCATAATTCTGACCTAGGTGGTCTCAGATCCACACTGGGTGCATGGGTCCCGGGCCAGCCCTCTCCTCCTCTCCTGACTCTCCAGAGAAACGCAGAAGGTGTTGTAGAATTCCT